ACGCTGGATGCCTACGTGGCTTGGGGAGGTTGCTAGTGACCAAAACGCCACAGCAGGAATATTTTGGTCGTAAACGTCTTCGACCATTCCAGAAGAAAGGTCGCTATAGTCAGTTTATGACGGCCAACTTTTGACCTTCTGTTTTTGGTCACAAAAAGGTCGCAAATGGAAATTTGTGACCTTTTAATGACCAATAGTGGTGGTCACAAGTTGACATATTTCTTGTAGTGCTAGGGAGGTTGAACAATCTATATTCATATTCTAGTTGGTCAGTTTTAACTTTAAGCTACAATTGTCTGAAACACCATACACATGCAAGTCAAGAAAATTAAGAGTGAAATAAGGTACATGGATGCATCCTGAGATTTGGATAGTTGTCGGAATCCTACATATAATTGGTGGAGGTTCAGACACAAAGTCACAAGACACATATATCTCAACCACTTCACCACAAATGTCTTGGAAAAAGTCACCTATCTGATCATGGCGGTTCACCAATGTGTAAGCCTCATTTGGTGTAGATCTTTAAACAAAAAAAACACTATCTCTAGGGACTTCAGAAGCTTCTCCATGACTTGAAGTCTTTCAAGCACCTAGACAATCTCGGAGGCCCACACCCTTCATGAGCAATAAGAATTTTGGTTGCTTGTTGAAGAATCCATTTCTTGTACCCAATACAAAATCTCCTTTACTCTAAAACCCTCATAGGATCAATCTTTAGGCATGATGTTGGAGTATTCGAAAGATATGAGTAGATCTCATGTGGTGGAGGAGAGCTATGAAAATATGGCTTGAATGCTTGAGACATGGACTTTTCTTGTGATTCTCGGCATAAGGTGGGAGAGGGGACCAAGTATATTGATGATTTCATACAACTCTGAGGTTCTGATCATCTCTACTCAGAGGTTCCAGATTGGAGGAAAGGAGGCAAGTTTTATAATGCTCAGAGGGTCTGAACCAACCATGTATGCATGTTTTGAATGAGTAACGAACCATGTATGGATGTTTTGAATGAGTGCACAGTAGACACCAGAGGGTCCAAAAGATACATGCTAGGCAACTCAATGAACCGTCAAGGATGATTTCATTTGTGCCTCGAAACATTACGGTAGTCCCATGTGATATATTTGGACGTGAGGCGTAAACTTAGGCCACCAAGGTTTCTGGACACAATTTACCCAGTTTTGTCCCACCTTGTCATGGGTAATAGGCCAGCTCGTGGCTTTAATTGTATTATATCTCAAAAATAAAGTACAACCGATGGTAGAATATAGGATTCTAGCGAGTAGGTGAACAACTCAAGGGCTCCTTTCTCAAAAGCTATGGATTAGGTAGAGCTTGTCCTTTTGTAGGTCCCTTAGCCTTATTTGTAGATGCAAACGATATGCCATGTATGACTGCCAAGCCCTTGTTTTTGTGTAATGAAGTTGTGATGGAAGAATAAGATTATCACCCGTTGTCGCGATGGTGCAAGGTCCATTCAACAGTACCAACAACACTCGCTGAATCGCATCTTCCCGTGATAGCATGCTTTGGATGGCCTCTAAGCAAACAAGCGATGTTGAGGTTTGCAAGGTCTCGGCTCGAGATGCGTTTCAGTGACAACAATGGCCCCTCGGTGCGCTGCTTGTGACTCGCTCCTTGGTAACGGTCGTCGTGGATCCCAATCATGCAGAGCTTCATCAAGTGCACTTGCCTTCTTTTTATTTTCCCCTCTAGCTTATCTTTACCTTTTTTGTTGTTGTTGTGGCTGTTTTTTGTTGTTGTGGGTGTTGTTCATGCTATTTGTTGTTGTTGTTGTTGTTGTTGTTGTTGTTGTTGTTGTTGTTGTTTTCCTGTTGCTTTATGATGTTCACATCACTTTCGGCGTGTTTGGTTCAAGTTGTGAATAGTCCCTGCATGACATACACTTCTCAGCCCAGCCTGGTTGAGCAAAAACAGGCCCTAATGCGCCATCTACAAGTTGTTTGGTTGCCTGCATCTAGGGTCCCTGCATTAGGTAATACGCAAGTGCACTTTGTTTGGTTGCCTGCATTGGCCCAAGCGGCACATGGACAAGGTGTTTGGTTGCATACGACGTACATGGTGTGCTTACCTTGTATCCTAGTTGGTGAGCTTACCCACAATGATCACACCTAGCACACCAACGCCACAACATAGCAATGGCGATGAACTGGGTGAAGATGATGAAGTTCTTCAACTTCAGCCCAAACTGACGATCCACCTTAGCACCTTCCACTTTGACACCTCTAACCTTGCCGCTGTCAACACCGCTACCTCCGTGCTTTCGCACCCAGTTGGAGTAAGCTTGTTCTGCTGCCTGCCTAGTCTTGAACCCTCTATGGTTGTTGTTGCTATACGATGCCACTTGTGCACTGGCTTCTTCCCATGAACTGTAGACCCCTGGAGCCTTACCGATGTACACGGCATACCACTTGCCCTACCAATGCACAAGAGCAAGAGTTGAAGCAACAAATCAGTGGAGCACATAAGTAGCAAGCAAAGTAGCACACAAACAACAATGGAGCAGAAGAGAAGAAGTAAAGCATGCATGATCATACGACATAGCAAGTTCTACCTAGCACTACCATGGTGTTATCCTACCACCACATCCAAAAGAGGGTGTCGTCCTACCACCGCAAGTTCACCATCATTGTGAGGGGTTAGCATATACCACCTCACCAAAATATACAGACCATCAAATAGTTTTCTAGCCTAGCTACACAAAATGTACGTCGTCATCGTCATCGCCGCGTCGTCGCCACCGCCACTGCCATCGCTGTCGGGGATCATGCACGCTCACATGCAGCACTACTCTAGTAGTAGTGCTTGCCCAGCCAGCTCCTGAGCCACAGCACCCTGTGAGGGTCTGGCATGGCAACGAACCCAACACCTCAGGCCTTGTTATCAAGCAGGTGGCTGAGAGCTGCCGTGAGAGCCTCGTCACTGAAGCCACCCTGGGTCATGACAACGCTATACAGGTCAGGGTGGACGTCGAGGGGCTTGCACTCCCTGATGGATGTTGCTACCTCCTTCACCACCTCAGTCATGCTGCAAAAGACATTGATCTCCTCCTCCATCAGGCCTCCTTTCTTCCTCTTCCTATTATGGACGGGGTCAAAGGGCTTGTCGAAGGTCTTCTCGAAGGGCTTGTCAGGGCCATCAAGGACCTCGACTTCCGGGGTTCCAGGGAAGTCTAGCATGGCAGAACCAAGAGGCTCCCCCGAGCCTATGGCATGCTTCCCGGTTGCCAGCCCGAAGGAGAAGATGTGCTGCATCTGGCTGTAGTTATTTATGGGTGTGTTGAGGAACTCAACGTCCTTTGGATGGTCCTAAGAATGAAACACAATTGTTGTTAGTTGCGATTAGGTGTAGGCAATGGTGGACAGTATGAAAAGGAAGAGGGTTGTGAGCTAACCGCGACGTGACCGGCGTAGTGCTCTGCCTCCAGAACTATGGAGCAAGTGTTCTCATCCCATGAGGCATCGCTAAGGTCTCTCAGCTTGGACACTTGGATCCATCGACCTCTCCACTTCCTCAGGTGGTTGTACACCTGGGTGGCGGACACCTCCTGCCCACATAACTCGAACACCTGGCACATAGACAAAATCAGACGCGAACACCTCTGAATCAGGTGCCACCTCGGACATAGGCTGCGAGTCCTCGACAAACGATGGAGCAAACTGGCTGTCGGACAGGACAAGGGCTTGACTAAGATCTTGTGTCTATGTGGTCATGTCCTACAATCGTAGCACACATTGACAATAAGCATAGCACACAACATACCTGACAATCCATGAAAGCAGGAGCATATATGTACATGGTTCATTACTATCATACCAAGCACATGCTTCGTCACTATCATACTAAGCACATGGTTCATCGCTATCATACTAAGCAATATCGGAAAATCTATGAGCAGGAACATACATCTACAACAAACATCATGCTACAAATGGGACCACCAATAGCTACAAATCATAAATCTAAGCATGAATCAACACAAGCACAAGATTCAACTTTAAACTCTACTACTAATCTAGTCTACCACATGCTTGAACATCTAACCCTACCACAAATTGCAACCGCAACATAGCAATCAACCCTGTGAGCTCACAGATCAGAGCACTAATCAACCATGCATCTACATAAAACCCTAACTGCAGCTCAGATCTAGCTAGAAGGAACAGAAAGAAAGGAGGATTGAACTCACAGAGGCCATGGCTGCAGCTCGAGGACGAGGGGGGAATGGTCGTAGAAGATCACCGCCGGCCGGTGAAGGACCGCCGACGCCGTGGACCGCCAACCGATGAAGATGCGCCACTTACCTGCTCGTCGGTGCCGATGCGCGTGAGAATGGTGGCGGGAGTTGGGTGATGAGGGAGGAGGCTAAATAGGGGCGGACTCGAAGGGAGGTGAGCCGAAATCCTCCCGCCGATTTTTCGGCGATGCAGGCGAGCTCGCGCCATCTCCCTAGTCGCACGAGGAGAGAAGCGCGTCGCCATCCCCTGCGTCGCCCGAGCTAGGCTCGTGAGCTACAGCCAATTCAGGCGTTTCACCTGGGGCCTGGCCTGAAGGTGCTTTAAGGTTCGTGTCATGCGGGCCGCACAGTAAACGCAGACAACCAAACACGCCAATTTCTTTCCGCACGGGCCAGGCTGGGCCATATGCAGGCAACCAAACACGCCATTTGTGTATCCTGCCCTGTGACAACTTTGAGCAACGTACAGAGATCCCCTGTCCATGGCTCCAAATGTTGCATCGAAACGACCAAATGTCAACGACTCCATCGTGGATTGGATCTCGCGAAGCCTCACGTGCCACGAACTTGCGTACTCTCGGTAAAGTTTTGACGAGAAGAAAAGGGAATCTAGCAAGTTTCAGCACCTGCAGACCCACTCACTTGCAGTTGCTGGCCTCCTTGACTCCACCCCCAAATCCGCCGCCCGCAAATCCCATCCCCCGCCTCCGGCCGCAGCCGCCCTCCCGTCTCCGGCGACATGGGCACCGTCACTCCCGCCGGTAAGCCCCCACTCCCCCCAGCCGGGCCGCGTCCTCCCCTCCCCCTCTCATCTAACCTGTTCTCCTCGCAGATCCGCACTCGTCCTTCCTCGCCGACAAGGGCGCCAGGGTCTTCGTGGCGGGCCACCGCGGGCTGGTGGGCTCGGCCATCCTGCGCCGCCTCCTCTCCCTCGGCTTCACCGACGTGGTCGTCCGCACGCACGCCGAGCTCGACCTCACCCGCCAGGCCGCCGTCGAGGCCTTCTTCGCCGCCGAGCGGCCGCGCTACGTCGTGCTCGCCGCCGCCAAGGTCGGCGGCATCCACGCCAACTCCACCTTCCCCGCCGACTTCATCGCCGCCAACCTCCAGATCCAGACCAACGTCGTCGACGCCGCGCTCCGCTGCGGCTCCGTCCGCAAGCTCCTCTTCCTCGGCTCCTCCTGCATCTACCCAAAGTTCGCGCCGCAGCCCATCCCGGAGGGCTCCCTCCTCTCCGGCCCGCTCGAGCCCACCAACGAGTGGTACGCCGTCGCCAAGATCGCCGGCATCAAGATGTGCCAGGCCTACCGCATCCAGCACGGCCTCGACGCCGTCTCCGCCATGCCCACCAACCTCTACGGCCCCCAGGACAACTTCCACCCGGAGAACTCGCACGTCCTGCCCGCGCTCATCCGCCGCTTCCACGAGGCCAAGGCCACCAATGCCCCCGAGGTCGTCGTGTGGGGATCTGGCTCCCCGCTCCGTGAATTCTTGCATGTCGATGACCTTGCCGATGCGGTGATCTTCTTGATGGACCAGTACTCTGGGCTGGAACATGTGAATGTGGGGAGTGGAAGCGAGGTTACCATCAAGGAGCTCGCCGAGCTGGTCAAGGAGGTGGTTGGATTCCAGGGGAAGCTAGTATGGGACTCGACCAAGCCGGATGGCACGCCGAGGAAGCTCATGGATAGCTCCAAGATACATGGGATGGGGTGGAAGCCCAAGGTTCCCCTCAAGGAGGGGCTTGTCGAGACATACAAGTGGTATGTGGAGAATGTCATCGCCGACAAGAAGTAACGGGGTGGTATCATGTTCTCCTTTGCCTCTTAAAGTTTGTATCTTGATATGATGAATAGTGTTTCTATTCTTGTTGGATACTGGATCACACAAGTACAAGGTATTACTGCACCAAAGAAAAGAGGTTGCTATGTGTTGGTCGAATAATATATTGGTCAAATTAGCGTACCATTAGAATCTTAATTGATGCTGAGCATGTTCTTTTATTACAGAAAGTGTAACACTTTATACATTGGATGGTAACTGGCCTACACTCGTTCTTTAGCAATTCAGCATGAAACAGATATTGAAGAGTTCACATGCTTGATTAAGATGCCCTTTAAATTTGTATCTGTTTTACACACATTCCTTGCCGGTTCCGCATAATTGTTTTTCCTGAAGAGTCTGCTTACTTGGCTGTCAATGCATCAGATTTTTAACAAGTTCAGAATGTAAAAATTGGTGCAGAGTGAAACTAATTTCTACTGCTTTAATATCATGTGGGAAAATGACCTATGAGACTTGAGAAATTTGGACTTTGTTTGTTACAAGGCAAAAGTGTCAAGTTATTTTTTCTCAACCAGTATCGGGTAATTTGTCTACAAATGAAGTTCTTGTTCCAGGGCTTTATATTTTCATTAAGACAATCAGATGGGCTGCAACTTACAGGCTAATTTCATCAAAGATTTTATGTCAAGGATAAACCGCTTTCTGTTAGACTTGCCTGGCTCAACAAAATATTCACTATCTCTATTTCTCTAAACATGGTGATTTATATCGAATATGATGCATTGATAGGAACTAACTAGTAACTACAGGATTTTTGTAGTAATTTACAATAAGGTAACAAGTTACATTACCATTTTTCCTCATGTGTTAATGTCTGATAATGTATCACATGGAAGCTCCTTATCTTTACATGCTTACTGTTTATCCAGAATTTGAAGTGCATTACCTGGCCATTCCAGACTTTGAGCAGTAGTGATTCCAGACTATTGATACAATTCTGATTTTTAACAAGTTCAGATTGTAAGAGTCGGTGCAGAGGCAAACTAATTTCTTGTGTTTTTGATATCATTATGGCAAAAGGACCTATGGGACTTGAATTTTTTTAATTGTTGTTCTTACAAGGAAAGAGTGGCAAGGTCATTTTTCTTTCTCAAACCAGCATCAGGTAGTTTGTCTAGAAATGAAGTTCTTGTGCCAGGGCTTTATGTTGTTATAAGAATATATCAGCACAGTTCTAATTCTGAAAACTAATTTCATCAAAGACTTGATGTTAAGGATAAACCTCTTTCAACTAGACTTGCCTTCTCCTGAAAGCATTCACTATCTGTATATATGGTGGTTTATACTGAAGTTGACAAATTGTGAGGAAGTAACCACAGTAATTTTATTGAAATAATTTACGATAAGGTAACAAGTCGAAGGACCATTTTTCCTGATGTGCTACTCAGTGAAGGAAGGATAAATTCATCTGATAATGTGCTATCGAGTGGATGCTCCTTCTCTTTACATACATGCTCACTGTTTATCCAGAATTCGAAATGCACTACCTGACCATTTGGACTTCCCTAGTTGATACAGGAAAGACAGTTTCACCCTGAACCTAAATCACATTCATTTCTGCAGTACTGTTAAAGGCTTCAGGATCCTGCCGTCAGTGATGGACAGTTACCTCCATTTTGTGATTGCTTTGTAGTTTTTGGTTGAATAATATATTGGTCAAATTAGTGTACCAATAGAATCTTAATTAATGCTGAGCATGTTTTTTCATTACAGAAAGTGTAACACTTTATATATCGGACGGAAACTGGCCTATTATTCATTCCTTTGCCAATTCAGCATGATACTCTATTTTTCTTTTGTTACGAAAAAAGTATTGTGCATCTGGAAGAGTTCACATGCTTGATTGTGATGCCCTTTAAATTTGTGATTGGCCTACTCACATTCCTTGTCTGTTCTGCATGATTGTTTTTCCCTTGCGAAAAGCATTGTGTCCTGAAGAATCTGCTTAATCAAGTGTTGATGCAATTCAGATTTTAAACAAGTTAAGAATGTAAGAATCGGTGCAGAGATAAACTAGTTTCTTGTGTTAATATCGTTATGGGAAAAGGGCCTGTGAGACTTCAGAAATTTTATCGTTGTTCTTACAAGGAAAAACCGGTAAGGTCTTTTTTCTTTCTCCAACCATTATCTGGTAGTTTGTCTAGAAATGAAGTTCTTGCTCCGGGGCTTTATATTGTTATTAAGAATATCAGATGTGCTGCAACTCAAACAGTCTTGAAAACTAATTTCATCAAAGAACTGATATGAAGGATAAACCTCTTTCAGTTTCATTTGCCTTCCCAAAATATTCACTATCTGTAGATGTCTGATGAGCTGATGGCCAGCTTGTGATGGTAACCTTGGAACTTTCAGAAGTTTCTTTGACCGAGAAACACAAAAGGTTGATGATTCCAAGATATTGAACTGTTGTGGGGGGGTGGGAGGTTAGCTTCTACTACCAATCGATTGGGAGGCATATTGCTCAAACTTTTTCGGCAATGAGCACGAAATTCGATCAAGTGGAAGTGAGGTTACCATCAAGGAGCTCGCGGAGCTGGTCAAGGAGATGGTTGAGTTCCAGGGGAAGCTAGTGTGGGACTCAAGCAAGCCGGACGGTACACCGAGGAAGCTCATGGATAGCTCCAAGATACATGGGATGGGTTGGAAGCCCAAGGTTCCCCTCAAGGAGGGGCTTGTCGAGACATACAAAGTGGTGTGTGGAGAATGTCATCGCCGAGAAGAAGTAATATGGTGGTATCATGTTCTCCATTGCCTCTTATAGTTTGTACCTTGATATGATCTGTAGTGGTTCCATTCTTGTTGGTTACTGGATCATACTATTACCAGGCATTAGTGCATCAAAGAAAAGAGGTTCTTATGTGTTGGTTGAATAATACATCGGTCAAATTAGTGTACCATTAGAATCTTAATTGATCCTAAGCATAATTTTTAGTACAGAAAGTGTAACACTTTAAATGTTGGACGGTAACTGGCCTACACACATTCCCTTGCCAGTTGAGCATAATATTCAGTATCTTTTTTATTATGAAATGGTATTGTGCATTTGGAAGAGTTCACATGCTTGATTGTGCTGCCCTTGCTGGTTCTGCATAATTGTATTTCCTTTGCTTACTACTATCGATGCAATTGAGATTTTTAACAAGTTCAGAGTGTAAGAATGGTGCAGAGAGAAACTATTTTTTTGGGTGATTTGAACATTGTTATGGAAGAGGACCTGTGAGATTTGAGACATTTTAACTTTGCTCTTGCAAAGCAAAAGTGGCAAGCTTAACTTTCTCCAACCAGTGTCGGGTACTTTCTCTAGAAATGAAGTTCTTGTTCCAGGGCTTTATATTTCCACTAAGACTATCAGCTGTGCTGCAACTCAACAACCTTGAAGACTAATTTCATCAAAGACTTGATGCCAAAGATAAGCCTCTATCAATTAGACTTTCCTTCTCCTCAAAACATCCATTATGTGTAAACATTATGGTTTATATTGAATTTGACATATGGAGAGGAACTAACTTCTTGTCGAAAGAAAAGGAACTAACTACTGTTTTTTTTATGTAATGTAGTACAATACACAAGGTAACAAGTCGAATGACCATTTTTCCTAATGTGTTACTCAGTGAAGGATAAATATATCTTATAATTAGCCCTCACATGAAAGCTCCCTTCTCCTACATGCTCACTGTTTTATCCAGAATTTTAAATACCTGATCATTTGGACTTCCCTGCCTGATACTCCCTCCGTTTTAAAATATAGTGCTTTCTCCATTCTCGTGCTTCAACTTTGACCATAAATTTAACCAATGAGACCGACTACGGCGGGAGCAAAAGTTATACCAGTGAATTCGTATTCAAAAGAAGTTTTCAATCATATAATTTTTTTCTCGCGCCGCAGTCGGTCTTGTTGGTTAAATTTATGGTCAAAGTTAGAGCTCGGGAAGCGCGGGCGTACTATATTTTGGAACGGAGGGAGTATAGGAAAGACAGCTTGGCACCCTGAGGCGGAATCTCGCTCATTTCTTCAGTAGTGTTAATGCTTCAGGATGCTGCCGTCAGTAACAATGGACAGTTATCTCCATCTTGAGGTTGCTTTCTACTGCTAGTTTTCGGCGACAGCAATGCTTGTAAGGTACTTCCTCTGTAAATAAATATAAGAGTGTTTAGATCACGTTAGTTTAGTGATCTAAACACTCTTATTTTTATTTATGGAGGGAGTAGTAAATCTGAGCAAGCTAGCTGCCTGATGAGCTGATGAGTAATTTATGATATAGGGAAGACAACTTGTCTGTCACCCTGAACCGGAATCTCATTTAGCTATTCGGTAGTGTTGCTGCTTCAGAATGCTGCCGCCAGTACTGGGGGGCATATTAGTTGGTTGATGAGCTACTCTGTGATGGTAACCTTGAGCCTTGAGATGTTCTTCTTGACCAAAGACGCTGGCGGTCGACGATTCCAAGATTTTGAAGAGCAGTGAGGGCAGCTTCTACCGCCGATCAACTGGGAGGCATATTGGCCGAACTTTCTCGGAGACTCGGCGCAGAATTCTCAGAGACTCCGCCTGATCCATGGCGCAGAGCTTCAGTGCTGTTGACTGCTTTTCACTGATTTTATTTCGTTAGTAGTAGCCCGAGCCCCTTGCTTCGGTGGACTTCCCTGGTTGATATGGGGAAGACAGTTTCACCCTGAACCTAAATCTCATTCATCTTTTCGGTGGTGTTGAGGCTTCAGGATCGTTCAGTTCATTTTGAGTTTGCTTCCAGCTAGTTTTTCTTTTTCTTTTTGGGTTCAAAGCAAATGCCTGTAAAAGCTAGTAAATCTTAGCAAGCTAGATGCTTGAGCGCTGATTGATGGCCAACTTTCAGGTGTTTCTTTGACTGAGAGACAAACAGTTGATGATTCCAAGATATTGAATCAAGCAAAGCTGCTTCCTTCAGGGACGTTCAGATACGTTATATAGATATGTTCAGGTACCCATGTCTGGATCAAGAAAAGCTGCGGTTCGGACGTTCGGTTCGTGCCCAGCAGCTCTATTGTTCGCGCTGTTTCGTGACACAGAGACTGACTGGCATCCCAGTCCAAGTGCTGAGCGACTAAGCTCGTGCAGTTTTTTCTGGAGCACGTACGGCTTTGTTAGGTTAACCTATCTTTATGGACACTTAGTCCGTCGTAGTCTAGGTGGTTAGGATACTCGGCTCTCACCCGAGAGACCCGGGTTCAAGTCCCGGCGACGGAATTTCATTACTTTTATTTTGTTAATTTTGACCGACCTACATTTCTGAATCTGATGCAGTTTCCTACATTTCTGAATCTTTTTATTTTGTTAATTTTGACCGACCTACATTTCTGAATCTGATGCAGTTTCCTACATTTCTGAATCTGATGCAGTTTCCTACATTTCTGAATCTTTTTATTTTGTTAATTTTGACCGACCTACATTTCTGAATCTGATGCAGTTTCCTACATTTCTGAATCTGATGCAGTTTCAGTTGATTTTTACCATTACCACCCGGGATCAAGACGTAATGAAACTATTGATCCTCGACACAGACGCAACTCCATTATTATGTGTTTGTGGCAAAGCTGATCAGCAAGCGGCAAGATCTTCACAAGATCAGCAAGCGGCAAGATCTTCACAAGATCAGCAAGCTCAACCTGAAACTGCATTATATTTAGGCATGTAGGTAGGTCAAAATTAACAAATACCCCTTGAGCTTGCTGATCGAATTCATGAAGATCTTCACAGGATTGACTTTCCGTCGCTCGGGACATCTTATAACAACAATGCCTTCCAGTTTCAAATAAGTTGGGGTAGACTAAAACTGAAATTAATAAGATCTGGAAACCAAGTCATGGCTCTGGCACGTAGATAGCTAACTTTCAAGTACCCCTGTCCATGGCTAGTTATTTAGTGATATTTCAGTCCTTGAGATCCCTCTTGACGAATTTCCCCCATGTCAAATTTGGTCTACCTGACTTTTCTTTACATTAATTATCAGCACATTCTAAATATCTGCTATGTGTTGACGCTTCTTGAGGCATGTGTTGTATATGCCAAACCATCTCAGATGATGATGGACAAGCTTTCCTTCAATTGGTGCTACCCCAACTCTATAACGTACATCATCATCCGGACTCGGTCTTTCCTTGTGTTGACACATATCCATCTCAACACGCGTATCTGTGCTACACCTAACTGTTGAACATGTCGCCTTTTAGTTGGTCAACATTCAGGGCCATACAACATTACAAGTCACATCCTATAGAACCTGCCTTTTAAAATTTTGTGGCACTCTCCTATCACTGAGAACGCTAGAAGAAGCTTGGCGCCACTTCATCCGTCCAGTTTTGATTTGATGACTCACTTCTTCATCGATATCACCATTCTTCTACATCATTGACCCCCAAACACTAGTGCAGAATCGGGCAATAGCACCGGTTCGTAAGGCCCTTTAGTGCCGGTTACATAACCGGCACTAAAATGTGGTCACTAAAGCCCCCCCCCCTTTAGTACCGGTTCAGCACAAACCGGTGCTAAAGGGCAACCACGTGGCACGAGCCAGCTCCGGGGGCCTGGAGCCCTTTAGTACCGGTTGGTAAGACCAACCGGTACTATAAGGTTTGGGGGTTTTTAGTTTTATGATTTCTTTTTCATTTAATTTTGTGTTTCCATTTTAATTTTTTTTGTTTGCTGGTATTTTACGATACTACACATTGTACACGTTATGCATATATATATATATAGAATTTCTAGTAGAACCAATCATCGAGTTCAACATGATTGTCATGATATAAGCGTTCATATATAATACCACAAAAGCAAATCACTTAAGTTCAGAACGAAGAACACGAACATGAAAGGACAAGTACTAATTAAGAGCAGCATGAAAAACTAGCTAAATCACTCCTGCTAGCTACTCTCTCTCTGGTAAAATAGCATAAAACATGTATAGCTCTCCTGATTGATCATACTGGAGCATGCCGATGAACATGTCTCCTAATCGTGGGTTGCGCTTCTCATTGCTGCCCCCTAGTACTTCTCTGCGATCATTAACAATTTTCCTCCAATCTTTCACTATTAAGCATTCATCGCTTCTAGAAATTTTGAATGCATTCATGTGCAATGCAGGATATCTTGGCCGTAAGCTAACAATTGACATCTGACCTTTAGTCTCGATCCCCTGAGGCACAACTGTCATCGGGAGTCCCTGTTGAAGAACATCGTATAGTACTTAATTAATATACTTAGCAATGAAAGTTTAGCAAAAAAAATATGTATGCAAAATATGCACTGAGGACAAATAGTAAATATCTTACCATCATTTCTAAATAGATGTGACCGTAGTTCAATACCATCACTATTGGTCGCACGTTTTGAGTACTAATATTTCTAAGTGCAGGAAGAAATTTATCTTGACAGTATGAAGATCCTCAAGCCATGAAACATAATGACTTATCTCCTCGCAGTTTAGTTCAGCGCCGGGACAGTAGTAGGTCCTGTCTACCAAGCGCCGGACATGTTTGGTTGAATGGAGATAAGCTGTCAATAGAAATTAGTTGTCAGTTATTTTCGAATAAGCAATATCAAAGACAAAAATATAGTTGAGAAAAACTCACATAATGGTAGAACTGGAGGCGTCTGCACATCGACCCATATGTCTCTATTACCTTCAATATCATTTTTCGGACGAATATCAAAGGTGATAACCATACCAGGCTCAAATGCATAAGCCTTGCATAGTGCTTGCCAAGTTTTGCATTCAAAATAGGTGT